TTTTTTATTTTCATGGTTTTAATTTCTTTTTATTTTTTCAAATAACTTTTATCGATTATATGTTATTATTTGTGCACTCGCATAAAGGTAGAGCTTTGGGGACTTCTTTTAGTAATGTTTTGGGTCAGTTGTACAGTTTTGAGTCTAGTGAGTTGGTTTGATTTAATTTTTACTCGGTGTTTATTTTTATTAGCAGTTGTGTCATTTTCAAGGTGTATTTGAGTTTTTTGGGGTTTTTGAGATATTGGTTTAGGAGGAAGTTTATGATGAGAATGTGCAGAGGTTTTGGGCTACTTTATAGTGGGACGTAAAATTTATTTACAGTTAGGTTTATTTGAGTTTTTATTAGGGTTCAGTGTTGTGGGATGTTTGTTCTGTTAGTAATAGAAATAGTTTTTGTTTTGATGTGCTGCGATGGGATGAGCATGTGCTGCGTGCCGGTGCTGACAAAGGTACAGTATTGTTGTGGTTCTGATGTGTCAGGTTAATGACTGTATATGGTTTAATAGATAGATGAAAATAGAAATAAATATAAATTTAAAATAAATATAAAATTTGAGTGGTAAACATAAATATAGATAACAGATACATATATAAAACTATAATATATGGTATATAATTGTAACATATTATCATATAGATAAATGATAGTCTATTATATATATACAAAGATACATAAATATAGATTGTAAATATGAAAATATTTTAATATAGTTAAATTGGGGGGTTTTATTAGGTTATAGACTGGGTTTTTTTAATAAATTATATACATAGAATTAAAATAAAAATTCAGATACAAATATATATGCAAATACAAATATCTATAAATATTTAAATTAAAAAAATATAAGTAAAAGAAATATATAATACAGAAATTATATATTTATTATTATATTAGAAGGTATTCTCTCTAATATATATAATATCTATCAATATAATAAATAAAAATTATCAATATAAATATGATTATAATTTTGAAAAATAAAGTTACTTCTTAAATTTTAAATATGGTTTAAATAAAGGAGTGTCCTTGGTTTTTATTTGGTTAGAGGCAGGAGTTTTATTTTAAATAATATAAGTATTATAGAAATGTGAATCTTAAGATAGAAATATATAAAAAATATATAAAGAGAAATTGCTAAACTATGAATATAAATTTAAATATAAATATATGTAAGTAATATGAAGAGTTGTATTATAGAATATAAATAACATTATACAGCAATATAAATTATAAATGGGAATATAAATATAAAAATATGCAAATATAGTTTAAAAGAAAGGGAGTTTTTTGGCTTTTAGTTAAGTAGAGGCAGGGGTTTTATTTTAAATAAGTGTTACAGAAGTAAAAATCTTGATGCAGAAATATATAATCAATATGTAAAAATATGTATAAAAAATATAAAAATATATAAATAACTACTCGCATCAGATGTAATATAGAATATAAATTTATTTATCAATTGACATTGATAAAGATAAATGTATAAGTAAGCAATATACATTAATATACATTATAAATACAAATATGAATATAAAAATCAGACATAAGGATAAAACCTATTGAAATATTGTTTAAAAGAAAGGGTTGGGTTTTTTTTTATTCTGTTTGGGTTAGAGGCAGGGTTTTTATTTTAAATAATATGAATGTAGATATTATTGTTATATATTTCTAAATATTGAGATATATAATCAAGATATAAATGTATATATAAACACAAAATATAAGTAAATACAGATAATAGGAAGAGATGTGATGGAGAATACAAATAACAGTATACATAAGTATACATGTTAAATGTAAATGTGAATATGAACCTGAAAAATAGAATTTTTAAAAAATATTTAAATACAGTTGAGAAGAAAGGGATTCTTTTTGGCTTTAACGTGGGTTGAGGCAGGGGTTTTCTTTTAAATAATGTAAGTGTTACAGAAGTAAAAATCCTAACACAAATAAATATATAATAAATATATAAAGATATGAATAAAAATATTTGAATAATATATAAATAATAGGAACAGATGTAACATAGAATATAAATTTATAAATAAATCAGAAAATATAAATGAAAAATTGAACATAGATCAGTATACATTTTAAATGTAAATGTGGATATAAATTCGAATTTTTTTTTTTTTTAATTTAAATACACTTGAAATGAAAGGGGTTTTTATTTGGCATGTATGGGTAGAGGCAGGGGTTTTATTTTGAATACTGTATGTGTTACAGAAGTAAAAATCCTAACCGAAATATTACTTACTATGTAAAAATATGTGTAAAAATATACAAATAAATTTAAGTTTTAGGGATATATGCAATATAGAATATAAATGTATTTATAAAAAGAAATGGATAAATGGACAGTATACATCAATATACATTATAAACAGAAATGTGAATATTAATATGAAAAAATATTTTTTAAAATATTTAAATATTTTTAAGAGAAATTGTTGGGGGTTTTTTTGTTTTGTTTTGTTTATTATCCTATTAAGTTAGAGGCAGAAGTTTTTTTCCTCTTCCCGGTTGTTTCGGGGCATTTATTTCAGAGCAGTTTTTGTCGGGGTTCGCCCCTGTTCTTTTTTGCCGCCTTCCCTGCCCGCAGCCCCGAGGCACGCTGCGTCCCTGGCTGGGGCGGGCAGCAGTGCTGCTGCCTTGTGGGCAGAGCGCGATACTGCAGCCCTGCACTGAGAGGCCGCCACCTTGGGAGTGGCTTGTCGCGGACTTTTCCTTGACCTTCTCAACGCGGGCAGCGAAAAGGGCGGGGAAGTGGAGGACCATGGTGGGTGTAACTGGACTGCCTGCATGGAATACCGACGTCATGGCGGCCCGATGGATTTTTCTGTGGCGTTTCAAGTGTATCCGACACATGCTGTGGGCTCAGCGGCGCCGCGGGCGGGCGTATTTTGGCGGGTTTGTGACAGGCATCTGGGTAAACGCCTCTCTGTGCCGGGGTCCTCTTATCGCCCGCTTTCCCGCCCTCAGCGAGCCGAGCCGGGCCGAATTGTTCCGAAGAGCCGAGGGTGGCCGAAAAGAGCCGACTTGAGCCGAAGAGGCGAGTGTAGCCAAAAACAGCCGAGTTTACCTGAAGAGCCGAGTGTAGCCGAAAACAGCTGAGTGTAGCCGAAAACAGCTGAGTTTACACCAACAGCAGATGATAGCCAACTGTAACCGATAGCCGAGTGTAGCTGACATTGGCCGCGTTTAGACCATGTGCCGAATATGACCGAGTTTAGCCAAACCGTGCTGAGTTCAGCCCAAGAGCTGAACTGAAACGAGTTTAGACCAAGAGCCGAACCAAGCCGAATTCAGCCGAGTTTAATTAAACAAAACCAAACGACGCCGCAGCGCTCTGCCTGCAGTGCGCCGGGGCAGACGGCAGGGGGCGCTGTATAAAGAAATTATAAAATATCAACTATCTATAAGAAGGAATAAAAGCTCTATGTCACGTGCAGCATTAAAAAATTTCAGGCTCCCAGGGAATAAATAGTTTTCTTTAAATAATTTTCATTTTGGAGGTTTTTTTTACTCCCAGGTAGCCTGAAAGTTTCAACTGCTGCTTTTTTATTCTAAAGCTAGAAAGGAAAACCAAGATCAGAAATAGAAGAAAAGGAAAGGAAAAGGGAAAGGAAAGGAAAAGGAACAGGGAAAGGAACAGGGAAAGGGAAGGGAAGGGAAGGGAAGGGAAGGGAAGGGAAGGGAAGGGAAGGAAAGGAAAGGAAAGGAAAGGAAAGGAAAGGAAAGGAAAGGAAAGGAAAGGAAAGGAAAGGAAAGGAAAGGAAAGGAAAGGAAAGGAAAGGAAAGGAAAGGAAAGGAAAGGAAAGGAAAGGAAAGGAAAGGAAAGGGAAGGAAAGGGAAGGAAAGGAAAGGAAAGGAAAGGAAAGGAAAGGAAAGGAAAGGAAAGGGGAAAGGAAAGGAAAGTAGAAAGGAGAGGAGAAAGGAAAGGAGAAAGGAGAGGAGAAAGGAAAGGAGAGGAGAGGGAAAGGGAAGGAAAGGGAAAGGGAAGGGGAAAGGGAAAGGAAAAGGAAAAAGAAAAGGAAAAGGAAAAGGAAAAGGAAAAGGAAAAGGAAAAGAAGCAGGAGAGCAAGAGGGAAGGGAAGGGGTGAAAACAGAGTGAAAAAAAGAAAAAAGAGTTGGAGGGAAAAAGAGAGGGCATTCGGGAGGAGCGGTGCTGCCTCAGGTCCTTCCCCGCCCAGGGGTGAGGGTCCCATTTGATGCCCGGGAGGGACTGCAGCTCCCGATGGCGTGGGACGGAGCCGTGGCTGTCAGCCTGAGATTACAACTCCCGGCAGGCCCTGCTGCCGGCGCGGCGTGTGACGCAACAGCTGACGCGGCACATGAGTGGCTGGCATGCCAGGCGGCCGCGCGGGGCTGTGCGCGGGCAGCTCCCGCACGGGACGGTGCCGCGGCAGCGACGCTGGAGGGGCGAAGCCTCCGTCTGGCCGCCCACACGGTGCTGAGCATCGCGGAAAGGGCGTCCGCCCAGTTCCTCGGCCTCACTCAGCGGTGCCGGGGGCGGAGGCGCTGCCGCCCACCGATGGCGGAGGGCGAGGCGGTGCTTTGCTGCCGCGGGCCGGGAGCTGCAGGAGCCGCCCCGGGCAAGCGGCGCCAGGCGTTCCCGCGGTCCCGGTGGGGCGGCTGCCCTCAGGCTGGCGGAGGCGCAGCAGCCCCCGAGCTGCAGCCGTCTCCCTCGGGCTGCTGCCGGTGCTGCGGGCGGAGGTGGCTCCGCCGCGTGTTGGGCGTTGCGAGGAGAGAGCGCTGCAATATCGCCGGAATGACAGGGCTGCTGGCTGCCTTAGTGCTCGTGGCTCTTTCTTCCATGAAAACGGATGGAGCGGCGCTGACCGGTAAACCCAGAGATGGCCAGGAGAATGCCCAGCGCAGGCAGCAGGCGGGCTGTATCCTTCGGATGGCACAGGTGCGATCTGCAAACTCACCCCCTTACGCCCCTGCTCTCCGGAGCCCCATGGAAAATGCTTTCCAGCATTGTCGAGCTTCTGAAAGACAAGACTTGTGATTTGACACTAGCATCCAGAAAAGGTTTCTGTCTAGATTAGCAAATGCCTAAATTGTTCTTGGTTACATCCCATGACCGGTTTTAGGCAGTGACTTTATACTGCTTTTAGGATTTTCTTGTACAATGGTGAGAAAATAGGCAGGTCTGGTACTGGTTCTTTTTTTCTACTTCACATTCCATGAGATTCTTTTATCCAAGCACTTGTTTTAAAATTCTACTGTAGGCGTTTATGGTTCACTTTTTTTTTCTTTGCAGCACCCGTGACTTTTTTTTTTGTCTAAATCGACAGTAAATATAGCTGAGTAAAATTACCTTGGTTTTCTTCCTTCTTTTTTAACTGAATTGTTTTTATTAAAAATCCTATTTGAATATGTAGAAAAAGTGGGTATGTCCTGTAATATATCCTAGCTTTTCTTGTTTACAGGGTACTCAGAAAATATGTCTCCCTTAGAGTCCCACAGAAACATTCTCAGTGCGATCTCTATCAAGGTATGTATTTACAAATAAGTGATCCCTTTAGATATTTGCCTGTGTACCTTTTCCTGTAATTCAGAGCTTGCGTTCTGTGGGTTTTATGATAAACCTATAAAATATGGTAAAAATGGTTTTGCAAGTCTTAATCGTTGAAGGCAGCAATAAGTGGATTTAGAGCCTGTTCTTGACCAGACAAAGGGAAAAAGTGTGACTTTGATGCTGAACTTGTCATTTTTCATTTGACTTGTCTTGAATTATTTAGGAATAGAGAGAACTAGAAAAAGAGAGAAATAGAATTGGTTATTGAGCACTCCTCAAATGCTCACCATGATTCAGTGTAGAGCCGAAGGGAAGGGTGATGGAACAGAGCTCTGTGCTTTAGAAGGAAATAAATTTAAACCTGACCTCCACACAGAGTCTAACTTAGCCTAACAACTAACTTCTGTTGTTTTAAAATACAAAATAGGTTTAGGAATGTTGGAAGTTAGTATTTTGGGAAAGAAATGGCAGTTCCACAGAACATTCCATTTAACAGAGGCTCTCGGAACGATTCATTTTGTAACTGCTGTCACTGCAATCAGTTGGTGGTTCAGCCTTGAAATGTGCACTCGCCCTTCTAAAAAACACTGTTTTGTTTGCCTTTCAGTGCTATGAGTCTTGATAAATTGGAGAAGAGCCCAAGAGAAATTTTTCATCACTTGATAAAAAAGGTAGGAAGTGACTTTTTTTGGTTTGGTTCTTTTTCTTTATTATTTTCTGGAAATAAAAGTAATTAAGTATAGGTACTACTGGTTTGTTTCTTCCAGTAGCAGGTGATAATAATAGTAGTAGTAACAGTAAAAATAATAATAGAAATAATAATAACAGTAATGTAATACTACTTAAACTGTCTTTATCCATTGAACTGGCCATTTCAAATCAAAACTTCTAAACACAAATCAAACCATCATCCTTGTAGAATCTTTCACAGCAGTGGCCTAAAGATCCTGGTTTTGTTGACAGGATTTATTGGTTCTGGAAGAACAAGAGGGAAGTACAAGTCTAACTACTTCTAGCTCACAGACCCGTCCAGTGAATACAGCTTTGTATTTTGATGGGCTTGTGATGACTTTGAAATCAGTTGGTCATTACAGTAAAAAAAATTAATGTTTTTTTGACCGTGACAGCAGAAATAACTTTAAGCACCAACTTAATAATAACAGATCACCAATTTAAGTTAAAAATTCATGCTATACTATCAAAATTTAAAGGTAAATTATTATGTATTAGGTGATGGTATAAAGTGTATGTTCTAATGTGTAGGATGTATGCAAAGATACATGCATATCTGAAAGTCCTTAGAGGAAACAAATTTTTATGTCTGCTGTTTGACTGTTTATCATACAATATTTGGTTTTATTTCCCAGGGATCGGTGAATTTTAACTTTGGAGTCCTCTATGCTAAGGATGCTCAGCTTACAGATGATGAAATGTTCAGTAATGGTGAGTTTTTCACCTTCTCTTTAATTGCTATGCTGATCTGAATAAGAAAAAAACAAAAGCAAGAGAAAAAAAAGGATGGTTTATTATTTTTTACACTGTTATGTTTGTTTCCTCAGTATTTGCTGCAGCTCTGCTTACCCAAGCTTTGGGTTCCTTCTGTCCCACTGGGAGTTGCCCAGTTTGGTTGCATCTGGTGAAATTCACCCTGAGACCTTACAGAACTAGCTCAAACTACATGAGAGCCATTTGCAGTTCTCTCCAGACACCTGGAGAATGGGTGATGTTTCTGAGGATCTGGCAAGTATACTTCTATCAAAACTCAGTCTGTGAAATTTCTGGGGAAAACCCTTCTGTGTCCTGAAGGGTTCAAACTCTGGTGAGGATCCAGTTATCAGGTGCTCACCTGGATGGTTCCAGCTCTTAAAGTGAACACTTGTACTCTTGCCCTGTAGTTTATATGTATTGTATTTTTGTTATTTTGCAAGATTTTACAGCTTTGCAAAATACTGGGCATTTCACTCTTTGGAACCTCTCAGATCGTTCTTTGGTGCAGCACCACCTCATGGGACACTTGGCTGCTGTCCTGAAGGGGTTGGTCGCTAGAATTGTAAATCCTGGAGAGTTTATAAGTCTTCTGTCCCCAGGGAGGTATCATGCTTTGTTTACTTTTGTTCTGTTTGTTAGGCACTGCTTCTCATTGGAACTATGAATTTCAAACTACCCTGTTCTTCTTTTAACAGTTTTCCTGGTTCTCTCCGTACGGCAGGGAAAGACTCTCGTATCCTTGTCGTCAGGCTCGGTGCTGTCCAAGAAGATACAGAGACTAAAAAAATCATAAGAAGCAAAATATGACTGCAGGGAAAACAAGCTGGAGAGAGCAAAAGGTGATATTGTTATCCTTACCCTGTATTAGAAACATCCACTGTGCTTTGATGCTGGTAGCTGCCAGAGGCTTGTTAGCTCTTTGTAGGCAGGTGTAGGTGTTCACTTGTAGGCTTTTTCTCTGGACAAGTCAATTCAAACTTTGCTAAGCTTATATTTGCAGATTACTCTCTAGCACAGTCCAGCATGACATTTTTGAATGTTGTAAAAATACCATGTTACTTGGAAATTGCTAATAATGAGAAGCCTTAGGGAAAAATAAGATTTCAGGGTTGGGAGACGTGAGAAGAATTTTGTGGGGATGTTAGACTGAAATAAAGCACACTTGAAGCTGGACTGGCACGCTGGCAGATCCCCTATTAAACAGTAGTGCTTAGATTAGCCTGGGGGTTGCCCATTGTTTCTGTAGAAATCAATGTTTCCTGGTCTTCAGAAGTAAGCTGCTTTGAAAAGCTGGAAGGTGCAGCATAGTGACAATCCGTGTGCTTTGGATTAAAAGTAGATTTCAGAAGGGTCCTAAGCCTTTGTCTTTTCCTCGAAGTCGATGTAATCGTATTGAGGAGTTTTTAATTCTGTGCTGCCATGTCATCAATCAGGGCCCTGTCGTACTAATCATCATACAGATACAAAACAAAAAATCAGACCCTGTCCCAACCACTTAGAGCCCAGAACACGATTTCCTCAGGCTACCATTTGTGTGCCATCGGTACTCACCACGGAAGCGAGCTGGGGATTGTTGCAGCTGTTGGGAACAAACCGCTTCTCGTCACACAGAAATGGAATTGGGATGACGCCTCGGCCAGCCCCTCTCTGCCATCGTCTCCTGAATCTGCAGCAGAGCAGTTCCAGTCCATCCGGGCACGTGTAATCCAGTTCCTGATGATCTGAGCACACGGAGCAGCACTCAGCTGCTGTGGGGGGCTCAGGGAAGGCAGAGTGTGCATTGTCATCTTCCTGAACCTACAGACGAATCAAAGTGAGAAGCTACAGTGTGGAAATCAGTCGCATATATGCTAAATAAAACTTGCAGATTTTTTAAAGAATTGTTTCTACTTGTTCTTTGTTGTGCTTCAGCGCTTAGAAAACCTCTCTTTAAAATCAGTTCAGTTCATCAGTTGAACTTTTGTTTGCAGACCCTTGCTGAGCAGAATTTGTTGCAGACTCAGTGCACACTGTGCTGGCCTCCCGGGAGTGTGAGGAGCTCATGTGTGCTACTTTTTGCTTTAGGACACGCTGAGGTATTTATTCCTTTTGGGATACATGATGAGAATTCCCAAGAGAGGTAGTTATAAGGTATGACATTGTGAAAAAGCCTGTGTGGTTGCAATGTTGTTGCTCTCAAAAGTTAATTTTTTCTTAGCCAGTAGTTAGCTTTTTGCTTTATTTTTGTGGTATCAGTATTTTATTGTTTAAAAAATTGCTTCAAAATAACTTCAGTGGCTGGCCATCGGTACCTTGTTCAGATTTGCCTGTTTGCTTGTACTTAAAATGTTCACATCTTGTTTATCCTTCTATTTAAGAAACTGCTGCCCAGCCAACTAATAACTGAATATCTATCTGTCTGGGACACGGGGAGAGGATTTAGGTAATGTCTTTGTTTCCGGAAAAAAGTTGTAGTGTAGTTTCGAAGTAGAGGAGAAGGGGGTGAAGACTCTGATGCTGTTGGAGCACCCCAAGGTCCCCAGGAGAAGGAGCCCCACTGGGGTGCAGGAGCAGGTGTGTTCTCATGTAATATTGAACAAATTATAAATATAAATATGAAAATTATAAATATAAAAATATATTTTAAATAGTTAAATAAAACGGGCTTTTTTTATTTGTCAATAGGCAGGGTTTTGATTATAAAAATTAAAAACACAAATAATATAAAGGTAGAAATGTTAGTATAGGAATATATCATAAATAAATACAGATATATATATATATATATATATATATAAAGTTTAAAAACAAGAAAAAAATAGTAGCAGTAGATATGATACATAATATAAATAATAATTTCAATCCATTTGTAGAATTTTATATATATTATATGTAATTATTAATACACTGCATCAAAAGAAACTATAAATATAAATGTGGATATAATTATACTAAGTATAAAATATTTCAATATCGTTTGAAAGAAGGTGGGTTTTTGTATTTATTTGGTTAGAGATGGGGGGTTTATTTTAAATAAAAGAAGTATTATAGAAATATAAATCTAAATATAGAAATATACAGTCAATATAGAAAGATATTTGTAAAAACACGAGCGAACGACGCCTCCTTCGGCCGAATGGAACGAGCTCAACTGAACCAAGGCGAGACCAGCCGAACCTGACGGCCTCGAGCGAATCGAGGCCAGGCTTGCGAGGCTGCCTGAACCGAGCCGAGCTCAGCCGAACCGAGCCCGCTGCTCTCGTGCGCGCTAATTAGCGCGAGTGCGGTCACAGCGTAATGAGCTCCTGTGCCACCCCGCGCTCCCGGTCGTGTCCGTGCGATGGCCGGGCCGCCCGTGGGACGCGGCAGCAGGAGAGCCCCGAACCAGGCGAGTTAAACATGAGGCGGCGCTGCTTGCCCGCCCTCAGGGAGCCCTGAGCCGAGCCGAGCTTAGCCGAACGCACAGAGAGTGGCTCCGAGTTCGGCCGAAGCGAGCCGAGCCGCGCCGAACGTACAGAGAGCGGCTCCGAGTTCACACGAAGCGAGCCGAGGCGTGCCGAGCGCACAGAGCGGCTCCGAGTTCGGCTGAAGCGAGCCGAGGCGGGTTGAAGAGTCGAGTACAGCCGAATGCAGCCGACAATAGCCGAGTTTAGCCGATTACAGCCAAATTTAGCCGAGCAGCTGTGAGCCTTGAGGTGAGCGTGCATCATTGCCAGTTTGGGATTGAGTGAAATGCACTAAGGAAACCAGCTTTGGGGAGGGAGGCAGGGAAATCCTCTCTTAACATTTACCAATTCTTCTGTCAAACTCATCACGGCAGGACAGCGTGAAGACTGAAAGTGTAAGAAGATGTGGAGGGAAACGGAGAATCTGACAGGAGCATCGAACGCACAAGTGAAGGAATTTTGCTTTTTGCTTGGATGTAAACTCAGAAGTTGTAAGGAATTTGGGAATGAGAAGGGACATTTCAGAAGGAGAAGAAGGAGAAGAAGTAACTTGTTGTTACAGTCCTGGCAAAAGCTTTTGTTCTAGCTAATAAAAGAAGTTAGTTTAAATTTAAAACAAAAAAGTGGTTTTTTTTATTTTCTTCACTATTATATTCATTGGTGGTATATGGTGTGTTGTTTTATTTCTTGGTCTTATTAACTCTGTGTAAATTGTTTTTTGAGTGAAGCTGACTTTCTGGATGGGTTGGTTTGTATTTGAGGTAGGATTAATTTCAATAGGTTTCTTTCATACACTTCTGATAGCTATTACTGGGATTTTGGTTTTGTTTACTGTATGTGTAAACATGCAGATTTGGTAGGACCAGCTCTGCTGCTGGAGTTTTGAGTGTGAACTTACTAGATGGCTTTTGCTAAACACAGAATAATTATGTAAGGTAACAGCAAATTACCCAATTTCCCAATTTATCTAGCTATGTAACCTCACCACAAAGTTTTATATATTACCAGTTTTCTGTTCTTCTGCTCCGAGTAGTTGATGCAAAAAAGAAAGCGCCGTTATTTCTCTGAAGAGCTTTCTTCTACAGCAAGCCCTTTACTGCCCTTGAATCTGAGTCAGAGGAGCCAAACAGCTGCAGCTGCTCTGAGGGCTTTTATACCCGGTGGGATTCGCTCCCTCCCTTTTCCTGGGTGCCATGGGAACGAGAGGCGGGCACCATCAGGGGTATATTAACCCCAGCCTTGGCTGAGGGGCTTCATTCCCTGTCTGGGATGTGCTGGGGTGAGGGCTCTCCTCTCATTTCAGTGAAGAGGCTCTTTCAGCTTATCTCAGGTTGTTTCCAGCAGGTGTTTCTGGGCATCTAAAGCAACAGAGGCTTGGAAGAGACTGTGAAGAAAACACCATGGAATACAGGGAGCATTTAGGTTTGTGATTTTGGGTTTGGTGTTTAGGGGTAAGGTGCTTTTGTAATTTATGGTTTTGCTCTTTTTTTTTTTTTTCTTGGATTTTTTGGTGGAATTTTTGGGGTTTTTTTGTTTTCTTTTTGGGGTTTTTGGTTGATTTTCATTGGTTTTTTGGGTTTTTTTGGTTTTTGTAGGTTTGGTTTTTTTGGGGGGGTTCTGTGGGGGTTTTTTTGTTTTTGTTGGGGTTTGGGGGGTTTTTTTTGTTTGTTTGTTTTGTTTTTGTGGGTTTTCAGATTTGGCTTTTTTTGTTTTTGGGGTTGTGGGTTTTTTGTTTGTTTGTTTGTTTGTTTGTTTTTGTTTTGGTGGTGGGGGGGTGTATTTGAGGAGTGCAACTCCCTGAAAATCCAAGCTGTGTAAAGCACAACATTTTTTTCAGCAGATTCATCATATCACAAGAGGGATCTGCCCCGTGTTGAAATTGGGGCTTCAGGTGAGTTGAGGATTGTGACTGGGAGAGGGAAGGTGAGCAGGTATCCAGTTAGGAGTTATTGTCAGCTGGGAGAGGTTTTAAGGCAGCAGGGTGAGAAAGGGTGTTTATTTGTTTATTTCAGGGCCCCCGCACACAAGGCTTCTCAGAAGCCTAGCAGAGGCATTGCCATGTCTTACAGGACACAACGTCATCCACTGCACTCACAGGAATGCCATTTAACTTTGCCTTTCTCTGACCCTGGTGCCACTCCTAATAAAGGCCACAGCCTTGGACTCAGGATGAAGCTGGAGCCTGAAGGAGCCAGGCACACTCAGGAGAGGGCAAGTAGCTGCCTTGCTGGGATTTGGCCCACATAACTCTGGACTCATACTTTGGTTTTGGTTTTCTTTATTGTAGCTGACCGAGAGGCTCACAGGTGATCACGGGGCCCTCCGAGGCAGACTCATTTCAGGTGCAACGTGGATTCCCATCACCGATCATCCAAAAGATAAGTTGGTGGCCAAGGCTTGGAGATGGGAGAGTAGCAGGTTGGGTGTTCTTGTGACAAATTTAAAATTTAGCAGAGGAAAAGCAATCTTCTGCAAGGGCCTCCTAGGACAGCTAAAGAGAGAGGCACTACTTTTGATGGCAGCTTTCAGGCGGGCAGTGCAGAACAGCTCTGGTTTGTGTTGTGTTGTCCTGTTTTGCAGAGAAAAGAAGAAATCTCACAACTTAATAAAAGTTGTAAAGCCCGGTGTGCCTTTATTACGACACGCGCCAGACGCAAGCCTCCCCAAAAGGCATGCGTACCCCTGAAGACTTCAGGTCTCCTTTTTCCCCCTTCCAAATGCATATGCATACAGTTTCACAATAAGTTCATACATATTCATTCCGCATGACATTTATCACCAATTCTCCTTTATCAAAGGAATTCTTAGGTGGGGGGGCAAATTGACCTTGTGGTCATTTCTGTTTTTCTTTCTCTGTCGTCTTGCTGTCTCAGGCATCTGACTTTTCCTTCAGCTTTGGCCTCACAGACTTTTCACCTCTCTTAGACACTTCACCTAATTCAGAATGGATCTCTACTCTGTCTCAGTCCAGTGTGGCGTGTTCCCTAGTGTGTCTTTGGGGTCCCTTTTGCCTTCTCCCCTCGAGGCCCTCACCACAAGCATGATGTGTCGTGTTTAATGTCCCCCTGTTTGTCACGTTCTGTGTCACGGGTGTCTGCACACATTTGTGCCGGAGCTGTTCTGCCCTGCCGCATGGCCTGCTGCAAAAGGACAAGCCTGGGGAGCTGGAATTTGTAATGTGGGGTGTAATTGGGCTCTAGATGCTATTCCTAGATTGATATAAGGTGTTTGCAGCTTGTGAGTTATCCTGGAGGTGTTTGACATATGTTCTAACTTTCTTTCAGGTGCAGATGCATTGCATCCTTGGCAGTGGGTCAGGGTTAGGAGGTGCCGGGCCTTCTTAGGAGCACAGTGAGTAGCAGACTGGGGGCGTTTTGGCTGATGTGGTGCCAAGATCAGGCACTGATGTTTGGTTCTC